AATTATGGACAACGCTTCTCCATATCAAGCCAAAACCCCCAGTGTCAATTGGCTGGAAATGATTTATACAATTATTACAGTTGTACATGGACATTGGAATACAGACATTTCCTGTGATATGGAGCAGATACACAATTCAATTAGTTCAATACATTTTTCTGTTCTATGTGGTTATAGATGGACTCTTGTTTGGTTCATGTGTTCCACACCTCATTATATTTGACAGAGAGCCCTAAACAAACTTCCTGTTCATAACCTCCCAACATGTTCTCCAGGTTAATGCCTTATGCAGGGCTACCCACTAACTGTGCTGTAATATCTCCCTGCCTGCCTCACAGAAGCTGATACAGGGCCAAAAGCGAGCTGCCTGAGCAGCAGCGTGTTTTTCGAAAAGCTCCTCAGAGAACTTTGAGTGTGTGCTCTATTGCTTTAAAAACCAGTCATTGTTTCACTCTGCCCCTGCAGAACTTGGCTGTGATTGTGGAAAGTAACATCTCCACGGGCAATAAGCTTCAACATCTACAGTTGAATGTTTAAAGAACAAAATCCAAGAAATATCTCAGGCAGGAATGGGAACTGTAGATGACCCCTGACGACAGGATATGGGACTATGGACATAGAGACTGCATATGGAACTCAAGATATCTGGAGATGGGCGAGCCTTCACACTTAGATCTGAGATTCTGAATCTTCTCTCCATATTGGTTCATTTTTTTATTCAAAGCATGAACACTCCCTCTTATTGTTTTGTTACTTTAGATCTTATGCACATCTGGGAAATTCCATTATCGAGACAAAGAGATATTCTAAAAGAAGGCAAATAAAGAGATGCTTTTCCCATTTCTAAACAGAAAAGAAAAGCCTTTGGGTCTTCTTGGCTTTAAATCAAAGGTTTGCTGTAGGAGATTAAATTTGGCAGATTTGGGGTCACTCATAGTTTTGATCCTTTGGTAAGCAGTAAAGAATTGTATATTTTTCAGTTTGATGTTTTTCCTCCCTTCAACTGGCTGCATATCATCTAATGCCTCTTAGCGAGCTTACTTTCAATGGATATGTGAAGGGCTTGTGTTCCAGTGAAGATGTTGTGTCCTGAATCATCCAAATTTAGAAGAAACTATAGAAACACTCAACTAAATTGAAAATGATGTATGGGAAAACAGTCAGGTTTCTTTATAACTGTAATAATAGCCAGAAACTCATGATTTCAGATAATAGTTCAAAAACATTTGACTGGAAGCCCCAAAGACAACGGTTGAGGCTTGGTTCTTACATTAAGATGCCTGATAGATTCTGGGTTCAAACATTAGGTAAGTGCTTGTCTGAACTTTGATGGAGGTTGGCTATTTGCTTTATGTCTGATCCCAGATGACTGGTCCTGTGTCTGGCCTGAGCTCCCGTTTTAGCCTCGGGAGACGGCCGTATATCGCACACAAACAGATAATCCAGGGGTGATTGAAGTAATTGCTTGCAGTTGTGCTATGGTGTTAGTGAGGGCCCTGAAAAGGTGAGGTAAGTGCTGCTCCTGTTCAGTATTGATTTCAGGCTGCTTCGCAGTGGGACTCTATGTGGCTTATGTGCTTTTATGGAGTGAAAAAGAATGAGATTTCAAAACCCAATTTTTCACACTCTTTAAAATCTACTCACCCTTAAACCTAGTCTGTACTTACTGACAGTGCGCGGAAAGTCTACATGACCATTTGGGTTAAGCAGAAGGCATTGGGGGAAATTGCCCACCACCCCCCCTGGTCTTGAAACGCTTACAAAAAGAGCCTGACTCCCTCACTGCACTGGCACACTGCCTCCATTCAGCAGCAGACCTTAATCTTAATTGTAGGTTCCTCTCCGATCTATCATTTGTCTTGCAAGCTGACAGTGGGAGATTCATTTGCTATGAGCTTGTCCCCACAACACTGAATGAAACAATTCTTGTCATGAAACTTTTATGTTTATGGAGAACTTTGTAATATTATAGTGACTGCCAAACCCCTAGGACTTCTCCATTTCCCTCCAATTAGGGAATGTTTTATTCCAAACAAGTTTGATGGGCAAATAATGCTGCTATTTAAAGTTCTCCTTCTATTGTCTTGTTAGTTGGCCCATGAATATGCTCGTTAGATATCGTGGTAAACCTTGTAGTCTTGCTACAAACTATAAAATGTCAGCAGGAAGCAAAACTTCCAATGGTACATTCTTGTTTTTTCTTGATACTGTATAGAAGAAAAACCCAGCTTTCTAACCCAGAAATTTTATTTCAACAGTCCATGGAGTATCACTTACTTTCACTCACCAATTGCAGTAACTCTTTAGAGCCCTGCCCATTGATATTTACGTCTGCAGTGCTACAGTGTGTGAACATTTTAGGCTACAGTAGTACTCAGGTTTAATTTCCTGCCATTAAAGAAACAAGGGGCCCAGCAGTCTACGAAGACGAGGTGATGAGGGAGAAATAAACCCAATGAGCTTTTAAGCACATAAACAATTTGACTTGATTCTTGTTTTTAAAAGCTTGGTTATCCTCGTTAAAGCACAAACACAGTCTTGATTTGTGTAATCTGTGGTTGTTTTGTGTTGAATAGAAAAAGGGACAGTGGTTGCCAACAGTGAGGGAGTGTCTGCTTGAGCTAAAGATCCATATTTGTCAGATTTTTCGACAGACAGCTGCTCACAGGATGGTTATCAGATCAGGATATGTGACAAACTCATTATGGATATCCTGATGAGTTTCACAGGTACCTCACAGTCTCACATGGGTTGTAAGGATATTGTATTTTTTGAAAGGATCTACAGGACACCTTTTTTTAAGGCTACTTATTCCTTCCCTAACTCCTTAGTTCCTTATTCCTCACAAGCCTTATCCCTTTTGCTTTTAAAATATACTTTTCGCTCAACCTGTAGTATTATGTCATTTTAAAATGTCAAACACACCACCTTACTTGTTGATTTTGTCCATGAAGTAAGCTTATCTATTGACATACCCACAAAGTCACAAGTTCACCACCAGATATACCCAGAATGAACTAAAAAGCACACTATGAAGTTCCTTAAATTGGTGCCAACAAATGGCACAATCTTGTCAACTCTACCCCCATGAAGATCTATGCCCAAATATCTTCATGCCCAAATTTGAGTAAAATATCATTGTATCAATGGCACTTAACACTATTTTCATATGATTTTGAATTTCAGTTTAGTTGCATTTCATATACAGCAACATAAACCAACAATTACTGTTTTGGACACATGGAGATGCACAAAAAAAGTTGTTAAGACTATATTATATCACTGAAGTTGATATAAGGAAATCGTTTTTATTTAAACATCCATCAGCTATTGTGCATCATTTGTGATAAATGTATGTGCATATGATGATAAAATTAAATCTAGCTGGAATATTTGAAATGACTCAAACAATTTCACAGAGCCAAGTTGGTCCATCACTATGAGGGACACATTTTAACAATCCTCTGATCCTTTGTTGTTTAAAGAGTTAGATTTTTGCACAAAAAAAATCTGTCACATACAGAAAAAAAGATGAATCAATATGTCAGTAACATAGATAAAAACAAATATCAACCCAGGGAAGGACTCACTATACTAAATGTAAGATTTAAATAATTAGATTTTTAAATTTGGTGAGCAGTGATTATGGCTTTTTATTGAACATATTAGAAAACTGCTTTATATGTAGAAGTATCATTGAAACCTTTTTTGTGCACAGCTAATGCATAAGTTAATTTATGCTGCAGGTGTTGATGTATTGACTTGGGAATTGCCAATGTTCAAATCATTTTCCAAACCAAAGTGAAAAAAAACCTTTGTAAAGAAGGATTTGCATTGATGTGACATGCAGGGATTAAGTATTGAATTGGAGATCTACCACGTAACCACAAATGGATTTCAGGAGAGCTAATGTACATAAACTATGTCTTATTACGTAAGTGGGATCATTATCCATTTCGTAGTTAAGACTGGATGGTTGAACTGCGAGGGTATGAGGTAACATACAAACCCTACATTTACGTTCCACTGTTAATACTCTGGTTAGTTTGTGGTTGTGCCATGATGATAGCGCTTGTGGTGCATAGCTTGAGTCTGACAAGAGAGGTTTGGGGTGTGTGATGAGAAAAAGTTTGGCTGTGTAACGAAGCTTCAGTATATTTTGGATATCCTTGGAATTGTACGTCATTAATGCTTCATCTTGCATCTGGTTGTGAATGCATTTTTCATTCCATGCCTATCAGTTGTTGGCTCAGTATTTAATTTCATTCTAGAGAGCTTTTGTTGACTGCCAAGCTATAATCAAAGGAAAATGTATCAGATTTTCAACATCAGTTCTATACAGTATATGATATGTGAAAACACCTGCAGTTTCTTACAAATATGTTGCTTCTTCAGAACCAGTTTTGCCATTTGGAGAAGTTGATGGCGTATGTTTATTTCTTTGTATTGCAAACTAGCTACAATACTACACTACATGTTTTTGCAGAAATGTTATTGAGCTGTATTTATTAATAGCATATAGAGTATATGGACCAAGACATTCAACAGAGCAATGCATCCTGGAACATGTAGGCCCAGCTGGCACGGCTCAGTAAGAACTCAGCTGTCTTGGTCCATAAAGAATAAACTGTAGAATGAATTGCTTCAATTGAGAAAATGTTCCAACGAAATCGGCTGGAAAATTGTAAACATTTTTGCAATATTCTCTTTTGAGAAAAAAATCTATCGAAAGATATCAGTGGACATTTATTTTTGATTTGATAAAATACCAATTTCCTGAAAATGCACTTTTTTATAATAAATACACAGTTCAAATCTCAGTGAGTTGAGCCATCTGACAGTATTTGCCCGGCAAAACTGAGTTAAATGAGTGTGTGAGAAAGAGTCTGAGTATTCCAGCCTGCTGTGTCAGATTGGACCTCCTCCTCCTCCTCCTCCTCCTCCTTCTTCTTCTTCTTCTTCTACAGTCTCCTCCTACGTCTCTCAGATATAGGCAGCGCTTTAACTTTGACTTGGAGTCAATCAGAGTGGGATCTTTAACTGTGCCTGCCACTGGGTCTCTTTGCCTCAGCCCACCACATACACACTCACGGCAGTCATCACACACACACAAACACAAATACACACATGCACGCTTGCACCGGCCAACATATGGAGTACTACTGCTTCCTCCTACTCTGGATCTGCAGCCAACAGTTAGGTGAGTAAAAGGTGTTTATGCATGCGTTATATTTTTAAAGTGTCTGTAGTGTAAACAATCCTGCTTGTGATTTGCTGCTGTTTGGATCAGACCTTCTTTCTTTTGCCATGTAGCTCTTCAGTATAATAATGACTCTATAATTGTTAGTTATACTTTGAATCGTTCCAACAGCAACTGGAAACTTTGACACTGCTGCTTTTAAAGGATTTAAAAACGCTACAGTAGGAACTTTAGAAAGTTTTTTTTAAAGATGTTATTTCCAACTTGATAATCTGGATGTACACATACATTCTTTATCTGAAAGGACAATATTTTCTGACTACCTTTAGTAAATGAATGGTTGCCTTTTTAAATTCCATCATAACTTGACATCTTGACATTGTATCACGGTCAGAGGCAGGAAGAGAGAGCTCAGTGGCTTTACTGAAGGAGTTGTTGTCCCCCTGCAGGTCTACAGAGGTGCCCTGTGTCTCAATGTATGCAGGCTCACTCTCCTTTAAATGGAAGTTGATTTTATCTTTTCACTGTAAAGTCTCCAGCAGCTGAAGATTTGCTGGTGCTCGGCACAAAACCATGGTCAATTACCGGTGAAATGACATAAGCAGCAACACATCCACACAGGACTAAAAGAAGAGAAACATGGAGGGAATTAAAGGAACCAAAAGCATACCATTATTTCTTTCCAAAGCTAATCATAGTATTTGAGCCACATAAATTAGTAAAAGTAAAGTAAAAGTAAAGATAAGTGGACAAATTGCAATGCTTCTATACACTGTAGAAGTAACTGATGCAGTGTCATCATGGGAATTTGTGACGTTTGAACTCCATATACTGTGAACTATGACCACATTGTTTGAATGAATGTGTGTTTGCAGACATGTATATACAATAGGGGGCATAAGTGCTGTAGAAAAGACAAGTAATGGGGGTTTAAAAGCCTTTAAATGACAGAAAGAAATTAGACAGTTGGTAAATAATAATAATAAAAAAAAACAAACAGGAGAGTTGGGGAGAGGAAATGCTGTTTGTAAATATTTGGTTGGATTTTGGAATTTGTTGGAACCAAGTTTGGGACTGAAGCCAAAGTGAGAGTGATACTGACCCTGAAGTCTTGGAGTCTGCAGAGAAAGACTTGGTGCTGGCTGTGGTGAGAGTTGTTTTGGCAGCCAGGAGCGACTGAATTTTTATTCTGCTGTGTGTAAAATCATGGGACGTTTGTACTAATGACCCCATCCAGATAACACTGAGAAGGGTTCATATAGAAATAGTAGGACAGTTGCCATTTGGCAAAACATCCCCACATTTAACCTACATTTCCTACATATGGCAATGTCCCTATAGCATTCATTTATCAGTGCTTTTGTCCTCAAAGCAGGATTCTTGCAGGATATGTAAACCCAAGCTTATTTCTCACAGGAACTTTTGATGAATTTCCTCCCTTGAAAGGAAGTTAAATGTGTCGCTTCATGCAGAGATGAACAAGCTGTTGAGATTAGTTCCCACGAGGAAATGGAAGGTAAAATTAAAATTATAATGAAAAATGCATATAAATCATTGACATACAATATCAAAGCTAATCGGGGGGGGGGTCTCAGGAAGCAGGACATGACATAAAAGGACTTTAAGTTGTATCGTTTACACTACACATAGCTGGCAGGTGATGTTGTAATAGTATAGTCGGATGTTATACGTTTTTGCCTTTAAATCGATGCTATTGGACATTTTCAGAGTATCAACAAAAAAGTCGAAAAGAACATACTGGTGAGCTGAAGGGAAAGCTGCTTTATTACGTTATGTACATGACGTTTGCACCAGTTCTGTGACATAAACATCATCACCACTCCACATCCCTCATCGTGAATTTTCCTAAATTTTACCTCCTGCGTTCACACGTCATCACATACCCAACGTCACACAGAAATTGTATTTTATTCAGAGCTTGTTTGCTGACATGTCCTCCAAAATTAAGTGACTCAATTCTTAAAAAAAAAGAAAAGTTTTCCCTGCCCTTCAGAATGACACGTATGAGTGTTTTCTGTTTTTACGTGTGTTGGAATCACTTCTGTTAAGGTTTAGTTAGGCTGCTTACAGAAGCCATTTGTTAGGGTTAGGGAAAGATCATAGTTTGGGTTTCAGAAATTGCTTGGTTAAAGCTACACAAACATCTTTGTTTAGGTTCCACAGATGTTTATGGCTAAAGAAACCAAAGTTCACTGTCACAAGGATACAGGAAATTGGAAAAAAAAAAGTTTTATCTTGTCTTGAACACCCTACAACAATCCCATGATCTTTTTCCCAATGCAGACTTTCTGGTTATTTGATAATGTCTCTCAACGTATCCTTTGCTATCAATAAACTAGACACTACTCTGACACACAGGGGGCGTACAGAGTACATCGTCCCTTATCACATAGGTTGGCAGTTCAATCCCAGCTCCTGTAGTCCACATCTCCATGTGTCCTTGGGCAAAACACTGAGCCCCAAATTGCCTCTGAATATCCTAGCCAGCAGGTATGAATGAGTGATTTGTTAATACTGATGGGGACTTTACATAGCAGCCTCACACTCGTACAATCAGTGTATGAATGTTTGTGTGAATAGGTGAATGGGTCATGTCGTGTAAAAGTGCTTTGAGTGGGCAGAAGACTAGAAAAGTACCATGTCAAATCTATTTACCATTTACTCTAAATGAAACCACTTGTCATTTAACAACTGATTATTTTCATTGAAACAATCAATTCCTTATAGTTAAAGAGTAAAGCAATGTATTCCATTTAAAAGAACCACTTTAACTAGTTTATAACCCCCTTTAGGACAGCAAGCAATCCCAGCTATTTTACTGGACCTCTACCAACAGTCCAGTTGAGGGAGGTTACTTTTCACACATTGCTGTTGATTTTTGTGTTGATTGATTAAAATTGGTTCCATAATCAGATGATAATTGTTTGGTTGGGGGTCCTAATCAGGAGTTCCTTCTTGCTGTGTGTTCACTACCTTTCAGAGCTTTCTGTGTCCAGACGCTATAATGAAACGTGAGTCCTGTCTGTTGTCATTTAGAAGTTTAAAACGTTCCATCAACCGAATTAATGAAAGCAACTTTATTAGGGTCAGATCTTATTACAAGACCGACTTATTAATCAAGAGTTTTATTGTTTTATCCGATTTATTGGCTGGTGAGGTTTTATTGTTGGAGGCAGTTAATGTTACACTGGCACATTTAGGGCTCTGATTAAATCCACATCTGGTTATTTCTCTAATAACTAACCAACCAATCAGTTACTCTGTATAAATGTCTCGACGTTATGTTGTCCAAGAAATTGTTTGAGTCTCTGTAGGGCCTGATGTCGACTCAGGGGCTTCACAGCTTGTTAACTAGTGCCCAGTTGGCTGTTGTGTGTTGGGAACATCTGGTTTTAGAGACCCCATGCCTCCCAGAGTATTTTTGTTGGCGTGGGGTAATCGGGTTATAAAGTGCCAAAATGTTTCATAGTATATAACTGTGAAGTGTCCTTCCAGAGAAAACCATTATAATGGAAACAAAGAATGGATCAATGGAAAAACAGTAGAATCTGTTGCTTTAGATTGAGTTGCTCTTTTCCTATTTGTTAAAATCCTCTGCGTTATACATCACCTGTGAGGTGCATCACAAGGTGTCTATACGTTCATAATTCACACCGGAACTGATTCCAAACTTCTAAAAAGTACACAAGACCTAGGATGTACTGTTAGTTTTTTTTATGAATCCCAAATAATATTACCTTGTATCCATTTCTAAAAGGACCTCATGTCATGAAGGTGTGTTTGAGCCAGCAGTTTGCACATCTCACCGGCACGGCTGCTCTGTGTCAGTGGGTCTGCGGTGGAGCTCCTGCAGCTTGGTATGGAGCCAAAGGCAGCAGCAGACTGATGTGGGTCGCGCCGGCAGCCACCGGCCTGAGGTTTATTTATCTGGGCACGATTGCCGGTACACAGGAAGCCCAGCAAGACTCTAACTTTGCGTTAGAAGCTGCTGATATTACTGGGAATATTAAATGGCTGTGCCACATTAGTTGCACGAAATGGAAATTGGATCACCTTCTTTCTCATGCTTTCACACTAAAACTTTTTCCTGTCCCTGTCTTAGCTTTCGCTCACATCTTGGTCACACTCCAGCCAATGTGAGATTGCATCAAGGGAAATTTATTTTCAATCCCAGCATTAAGTTAGCTACCAGACGTTTAGCGTTTATGTGCCTCATTTGAACAATGGTGGTGAGAGTTTAAAGAGAAACAGTCCTCTGTCCTGCATGTGTTAAGTTATGTATGATGTCAAATAGTTCCCTGCTGATTTGATTTATTTTTCATACACCTTTCAGTTCCAAACAATCTATTTCCAGTCACCCTTTTTATGTTCCTAGATAAACACAATCTGAAGGAGGATGTTTGGAGTTCAGCATCAAACACCAGCTGAACATGTGAACCATTCATACAACAGGAAATGAGCAACACTGAGAATTTGTCAATATTTACATGGAGGGTCTGCATGGCAGAAATGGCCATTTATTTTAAAGGAGGTTTTCATGAACCAGAACAAGTGATCTATGGTTGTGCAATCCAGTTGTGATTACATGGGTCACAGGCAGCAAGAAAAAATAATTGAATGGCTGATTCACTCTGTGGCTGTCACTCCACTCACATAATATCCTGTGGTTAAAATTGTGGCTGTGATCCTTATCACAGCGCTTGCAGTCCAGCAGCCTCACAGATTTACAGATACTTGCTGAAGAGCACCAAGAGAAGATATTTAGTTTGCAATTTGTTTAGACAGCCATTAAAACTCCTAAATATTCAGTATCTAGGAATGCAGACAACTTCACATATCTGTGGAGGGACCGTTTTTCGTCAAAGGAACAGCTGCTTGAATTGTAACCGCTCCTCTGCATTTCCCAGCTTAAACAACTGCAAACCCAAACAAATACATGTCTCGTGTGTACAAGAAACTTTAAGCATAATGGAGTTGCAGCTGCACTCCATGTTAATCACTACTGTGCTATAAAAGATGGACACTTTTAAACTCTGCTTATGGTAAAGAATTGTGTTTTTTTTAACACAAACATGCAGTAAAACATGACTTCACCACTTTTGTACAGTAATTATCTTTTATCAATTATTGAACAACGGCAGTAAGGACTCCTTCTCACTAAAAGTGTGGTATTGGATTACTTGTGTTGTCTGTACACTGCTGTCCTTAAGCTGGAGAGAGCCAAAGTTGGAGAACCAGATGCTTGATTGAAGGACAGGTGTGTTTAACTTATCAGAGTGCGACTTATTATTTTAGTGATGATGATGATCCAACAGTTAAGGGATTTTAGTGGCAGCACAATTACATTGGAGAGACTTGATCCAAAGACCCTCCTGCACCAATAGAAATAAGGTGGCACTGCCACGAGGAAGATTTTGTATTCAGTACACAGGGAAGGGGAAGCCAGTGTAGTGAATAGAGGATGGATGTGATGTGTTTAACATTTTTGCACACTCATCAGAATTCTAGCAGGACTCTTGTTCATATTAGAGCTGGAGTTCATCCACAAATTTATCTAATCCTAGGTGATACATGCAGGTGATGATGGTATGGCTGCAGACAGGGTAGGGTCAGTGTTGAGGTATAGTTGAATGTCATCAACATAGCAATTGAATGATATTCCCGACAGGCTGATGACACAGAGGAGAAGTGTGACAAGGGTCGGACTGATCCTTGAGGGACCCTACAGGTGACAGTGTGTATCCGGGTCTTTGAATCTGCCAGTGCAAAATACTCTGATCTTCAAGAGAGTTAGGATTTGAACCCACTTAGTGCAGAGTTGGAGATTTCCAGATGGTGAAGGGAGAGATTCCAATAGTTAAGTGTAGATAGTTTAGAAGGAAGTCGTGGTCGACAGAGAGCCATCCGTCAGCATCAACAGGTTGTTAGTGACCCTGACTGGGCTGTTTCCTTGCTGTGGGTGGAGTGCAAACTAGACTGAAATAATAAAGGCAAACATAAGAATAAATAACTTCAGAAAATCTATAACCTCATCTATAACCAAAGAAAAGCAAGCAGCTCCTGTGAGATGTGTTGAAAAGACTCAACTCCACTCAAATTTTCCTAATTCCTAATTTTCCTGTTGCTTCTGGTTTGCTTTGGGATATATAAAGTCCTTGACAACAAGTAGACAGTTATGTAATGTGGGCAACTTTGATTTATCTTGGCAATAAAGACGAGTGTCACTGGGATAAAAGTGGAACCAGATGCTCTACTAACACTACGATCATTGGGTAACATAGTAACAATATCAGGTCGACAACAATCACATTAAAAGATACTTTACAGTAAGTAATGGAACAATTTAAAATTCCAAGACACTTTTTATTTCATATTTATTTTATATAATATTACACCTGCACAATCATATGATTTCATTTTAGAGAGCGTTTTCAGTGAGCCTTAGTACCTCTGTCTTGAATTTGACCTCAGCTGTCATTTGTTATGGCTTAATTTGTATTTAACAATTTAACCTGTTTTCCAACATTGTTGAGCATTCCTTTATCTTGTTGTTTACATTTAACCGAATTCCCCCTTTGCAGGGTAAAGAGGCTCTCTTAACTTGACCTGACCTGAGAGCCTCACAGACATGGAGGGTGCTGTGAGAGGTCATTTAGTCGTTTAGTGTGAGGGCCAGGGATTGAATAAGTGTATGTGGACATGAGCCACAGATATGTTAGGAGTATAGGTAGTTTGTCGTGTTGGAGAGTTCTTTTTCCCTCAACTCAGCTGTGCAGCTCAAATTGTGAGAAAACACATTATGTTGTCGCAACAATCTTGAAATCACTGTGTCTTGTTCAGCACGAAGTCTGATTAACGTTCCTGCAACTGCAACGTCTTTTTTTGTCTTCAGTTTAATTGCTTCCTATCTTTCTTGCTATGTTTTCAGATTTATAATATCAATGATGATCAACATTATCCATGACCTTATGGTAAAAATGAATGAAGCAACACTTTCTGCATCAACAGACAAACTATATGGTAATATGTTTTGCTTCTGGAGAAACAGACATCAGAAGGAGATTAAGCAGACGACAGATGAACGGAGAGATGGATAGAGAGAGGAAGTAAAAGTGGTAGTTACGTTCTTTCCCCTTTCGCCTCTGCCAAACTGAAACCTCATCACCTCTATGTCCTCACACAGATTTGCATGTTTTGATGGAAATGCAAATGCCAAATGATGCTATCACCATCAATTAGGCACATTAGGGGTAACTTGGTGACGTGCAAAATCTGGAAAATACCTCCTGAGATGGTATTTTAATTAAAAACAGACGTTCACTGCTGCTTTCAGCCACATAGGAAGCTGTCTAAAGATGTGAGAGAAGTTTGAGTACACAATTGGGAAAACAGATTCCCTTTGATCAGGTCCCATGGCGGCTTTAGTTCTTACCCTCATATTACATGTCAGCTTACACTTCAGCATCTTTTAAGTGCAATACCCATAACAACACCCCATACTGAGTGTCTTTACTAGTTTATTGTTGCAGTTTTGTCTTTTCTGTGGTGATTTGCACTTGGCATATGTCTCAATATTTTGTTTCCTACATATTAAACCGAATTACGATTCGATGCATGATACAATTACGATACTGTATGTTACTGTAATATGCAGATTAATGGAAAGGAGTTGGAAAGAAAATGGAAAGAAAACATGTAGTAGAACGTTTGTTGCATCAAGTGTTGAAAGTAAGTCTGAGGACGTTTTTCCTAAAACATGGCATCATAAAGATGAAGTGTAAAGGGTTCAAGGCTCAGTCAGGGGTTAATCAGAAATTACCTATGGGGTCTGAGGCCTTACACAAACAAATGTGCCACTGGTGAGTTGACCTAAAATGGTGTTTCTAGTGTTTTGAGCGTTAGAAATTGACCTGCATATTTGACATCTTCGATTTCCGTCTCTTACGCTCTATGCTGTCGTGAAGTTTGCCAGAATAGTGGAGTGACTTCTTGTGGAAACATTTGTCGTGATGGTGGTCATGTTGACACTATTCTGAGTAACCAAAACTCCTCTGGGTTTTCAAATGTCTGATGGAGGACCGTCAGTCAAATGTGACAGACAGCTCGGCAGCGCTTTACTAGTAAGAGGATTAGTTGTTTCACTATGAGGGAAGTCTGTGTTTAGGCTGCTGCAGGATGATAAACAGACACAAGACAAGATAATTGTTATTTCAAGAATGAGTAAGGATGAGTAGTGTGCAACTGTTTATTGCTCTTAGACCAGATGCTGAGGTATAATCAGTGTAAATGTAAATGTTTCCTCTAGTGAAGACACCAATAAAACTGCTGGGACACTACTATGTAGCTCCAAATTTTCTGTGTTAAATATACCCATGTTGTAGAGCGAGGCTGTTCTTCTTTCACTGCTAATGACATTTTTCTTTTCTTTTCAAGAATTCCTCGACTGTTATAATATCGACACGAAGAGACACAGAATCATCAAAGGCCCCAAACAAGCCCAGTTTGGATACACTGTTCAGCAACACGTGGCTGCTGGAGGAGAGAAGTGGTAAGGAGCTTCTGTTCTTTAAACGCTACTGCTATGCCAAAATATAATACCCTGTTGATGTTTTTCAGCTATTTGATTTTAAATTCTGCAGATGGTTGCCTGTCTAATCTCGAGCTTGGCAAACATTGTCTTCTTTCAAGATCATGTGTCACTCATTATAGATCAAACCAGAAGAGTAAATGAATTGTATCTTTGTCTTTCTAGAGTTATAGATAGACAGAAAATGCTCTGTTGACATTTTAAAGAAGCTCCAAAGATTGGGTTATATATCAGTTTCAAACATTTACCATCTATATTTTGTACCGTAAGTATCACTTATTATGACGTGTATATTTTAAGTATCTGTAAAACTTCCCTGAAATCACCTCTGTGATGTATGGCTTAGATAAAGAGGTCAAGCACATTACAGCTGTAAAACATGCTGACAAGGTCTACCGCTGTCTGACTGTCTGGCACTGAGACATTTCTCCGCAGAAAGATAATGATCTACTGTGCCTCTCCTGCACTGTGCCAAGTTCTGCTTTATTTTTTGCTTACAAAACAAACTGTAGTTCTGCTCTGGATACGTCACATTCATCATATTACCTCACTGCACTAACTCCCTCCTGATGCACGCTGTTGTTAGGCCAACTGGCACCGCATGGTGGCCAGAATTAGATTCTGGCATCCCCAAAACATCTTATTGCAAGCACTGTGCAAGAACCATGCTGAGTTCCAGTTGTGCTTCTGTGTGTCTGTGAATCATTATTTTGTTTATATATATTTAGATTTTATCCCCACTTTTGTTCTTTTCAATGGTTTCCAGACTGGCCTCACCAGGAAATCAATAGCATTTGTCTTTGGTTTTAAATGCTTAGAAATGACTTTGTTTCCTGACGAGACCTTTTTGAATTTGTCGCTGTGTGGCTTCCTTCTATAGGGTGGAGACTTAATGTTTAGACAGCTTCACCCGAAAAGGGACAACATACTGTCTCTTTCCAACAACAAACCAACCTTATTTTAAACATAAAAGTTAGCTTTCTTAGAACAAAAAAAAAAGACTATCCTAGTTGTTAACAACACAACTTACAGTAAGTAGTAAGTTAGGTTTATGTGGTAATGCACCTCTCGAAGGAAAGGTCGCAAAGTGCTTCACTAATTGATACAAAAACAAAATAATCAGTGACAAAAAGCAGCATAAAATCATTAACACTTAGCAACTTTTGATTAATAAGTCACCTACTGAAGGGTTGTTTAGGAAGGAAATTGACCTTCATCATTTTTCAGATAAAGTCTCAAGTTGATGTTTTCCATGATTTATTTTTCACCTAAAAACATGTAAAAAAAAAACAAACAAAAAAACATGTAGTAATAAAACACATTCCAAAGTGAACTTACTGACCCATTGCAACGGTGCCTTGTCATAATTTAATACATGGAGCATGTAATATGTGTAACAAAAGTGTAATTATTTTCCCTTATCTAATTGTTAAAATCACTTTGTGGTAGAGCTGGGATACAGCTCATTAGAAGGTTTTTTATTCCTGTATTACTTTAAGAACGGCCAAATTGTATTATTCGTTAGTTTACACATAGTGCTGCCCTGCAACATAATGGGACCAGTGTTTGTGCGGGAAATACCCCCGTTGTGCTTCTGTGTGTCTGTGAATCATTATTTTGTTTATATATATTTAGATTTTATCCCCACTTTTGTTCTTTTCAATGGTTTCCAGACTGGCCTCACCAGGAAATCAATAGCATTTGTCTTTGGTTTTAAATGCTTAGAAATGACTTTGTTTCCTGACGAGACCTTTTTGAATTTGTCGCTGTGTGGCTTCCTTCTATAGGGTGGAGACTTAATGTTTAGACAGCTTCACCCGAAAAGGGACAACATACTGTCTCTTTCCAACAACAAACCAACCTTATTTTAAACATAAAAGTTAGCTTTCTTAGAACAAAAAAAAAAGACTATCCTAGTTGTTAACAACACAACTTACAGTAAGTAGTAAGTTAGGTTTATGTGGTAATGCACCTCTCGAAGGAAAGGTCGCAAAGTGCTTCACTAATTGATACAAAAACAAAATAATCAGTGACAAAAAGCAGCATAAAATCATTAACACTTAGCAACTTTTGATTAATAAGTCACCTACTGAAGGGTTGTTTAGGAAGGAAATTGACCTTCATCATTTTTCAGATAAAGTCTCAAGTTGATGTTTTCCATGATTTATTTTTCACCTAAAAACATGTAAAAAAAAAACAAACAAAAAAACATGTAGTAATAAAACACATTCCAAAGTGAACTTACTGACCCATTGCAACGGTGCCTTGTCATAATTTAATACATGGAGCATGTAATATGTGTAACAAAAGTGTAATTATTTTCCCTTATCTAATTGTTAAAATCACTTTGTGGTAGAGCTGGGATACAGCTCATTAGAAGGTTTTTTATTCCTGTATTACTTTAAGAACGGCCAAATTGTATTATTCGTTAGTTTACACATAGTGCTGCCCTGCAACATAATGGGACCAGTGTTTGTGCGGGAAATACCTAACTGGGCTATCTGTCCCATGTTGATTCTTTATTTGTTCCTCCAGGCAAGTTATCAATCCTTCATCACCCGCATGCAGCCTGTGACATAAGGGCCTGTAGTGTTTGTGTGTGGGGGGTTATGTGTAAAGAGAGACAGACAGTATGGTATTCATATAGAATATCGCGCTTGGCAATGAATTCCCTATACTCTGCTGGCTGAACACAGTGTCTGTAAATGACCTCTAAGTCAAAAAAGTAGAAAGCTAGCTGATTTTAGTCCTCACCCAACTGTCTGTGCATGTGTGGTCTAATACGTTTCTGTACTGGCCTATGTCTCAGCTTTGAAATATCAGAGTGGGGAAAGTGAGATGACGTTTGGCTGTTTATTTTAGGGTTAAGACCTCGTTTAACATCAAAGGTTAGGATCGGGTGTGAGCCCTGGTCAGGCTAAATGCTGGTTGGAGATGTTTGGTGATTTTCTTTTTGTCAACAAGTCCCATAAATGATCCAAAGCGACAAGTATTTAATCCATTGCAATATTTTTACAGCCAGGTCTGATACTGTGTATTCCTCTGTGCCAGAGACATCCAGAGTTGTCCAAATACAATAAAAAAAACACATAAATAATCCAGATAGTCTTACTCAATGACATTTTACCTCATTATAATGAACTAGTTAACGAGAGAGTTGAGTCAAGAAACATATTTCTGCTGCCATTAATGCTCATTTATAAACCAAATGTGTAATAAACTGAAGCAAAAAATATCACCCAATAAATGCAATGTTTACTGAAGATTAAGATGTGTTTGGCAGAAGCTGTTTGCACCCATTTAACAATCTATATCTTTCATACCTTTTAAATGGGAGCCATACTTAGGGTCAGGGGAAACTAAAACATTGTTTGTGTTGAAGTTGTCATGATATATAGCGACAGTAATACAGATCGCGTGCCTTCTCCCCACAGGTTAAGGTCAGGCGCTGCAAACGTATGTGTTCTTAATGTACAAGAGAGTAGAGGGACTGCTTGGAGAGTAACAGGGCAATGAGGCCATGTATGTTTAGAATAAAGGTGGCCAGAGATGCTGCTTCGACTGAAGCAGTGTAAAAACTGAACTTTCCCCTTGCGGGGATCAATAAAAAGTAAATCTTAATCTTAATCTTAAATGTCTGAGCATGAATGGAAAACAGTGGCGGAGGAGGGACAGTGCAGTAACAACTTTGCATGCTGCTTCTGGCATCTTTATGAGGCTTAAATAGTTTTTGTATTAAGGAGCACTTGTGTTGATAAAAACCTTCAAATGGATGCAAGAAAAGATAACGTTTCAGTTAGTGTTTTTATATATATGTTTGTATATATATATATATACATACGTATATATATATACATACATATATATATATACATATTATCAAGCATTGTTCAAGTTATTAATGTTTAATATACAATGACCTTCTGTCACATTATAGTCTCACACTTGTATTACACCTTGATTTTGACTCGGAGGACACTCAGTCATCGAGCGAAGTTTAGTTTTAAAAGGACTGTTTGGTCAGTGCAGCAGTGTGCGTAGGTGTGAGTATGCGAACTCACAGCTGCAAGCAACAAACTCATGCTAGACTGTCTGTATATTTGTGTGTGTCTCTGTGGGAGTGTGTGTGGAGGGGGTGTGATGCAGAATCTGACAGTTCTCAGCTGGACTAAGGAATATGGCTGATCTGATGAAAAAACACTAAAAAGTTAGTTTGAAGGATCGTTATGATTTTTTTTAAAACACACAATGTTTGAAATGATTCTCAAAGAGGAAATCAATTAAAAAGAATGAGCTTAAACTCACATTAGAAGAGTTTTTGTCAAAAATACATTTTAGAAATTTTTAAATACATTTCAAAAACTAAAATATTGAATAAGATAATGCTTATGCTGAAAGAATATGACAGATGGTTCTCTCTAAAATAAATGATCACTTCCGCAGTATGTTATGGAAAGTGCTATTCCAGCTGCTGTTTTAAGGCAGGAAATTTGCGTCCCTGTGACGATTCGCTTTCAATCTGAATGTCTCTGAAGGATATTACAGGGTGATGAATTGATCCCCCTTTTATACTGCCCTGGAGGTAGAAGCAGAGGCATTACAAGCGTTAGACAGGATCAGCTAAACCAGTGGGGGAGCGCAGCACTGTGTGTGTGTGCATGTCTGACTGTGTGTGTATGTGAAGCTCCTGCTGTGCCGTGCTTCTGCAATGGCCAAACGCAATGTGAATTCATAGGCTGAGACACTGAAATTCTGAAAAGGCTAATGACTTTGTAAGACACGTATTACACCATAAAGTGTGGTGTTACAATATATAGTCAATTAAATGTGCTAAAGACAACTAACAGTAAAAAAACAGAACAAATTGAGCGGTGATAAACACCAGTACGCTACGTAATGTCGACATAACGTATATGTAAAATAAACTCATATAAACCTGTAAAATTCATGGGCTAAATGTT